TGCTAAATTTGCTTTTGTTCTCTCTGTATACACACACACACACACACACACACACTTTTTCTTTTGCCAAGCTACTTGTAAGTAAGTTGCAAACGTTAATATCATTTCATTCCTAAAAGCCTCAGCAGAAATCTCCTTAGAATAAGGACGTTCCCTTACATGTCTACCACACCATTATCACACCTAAGAAAATCAACAGTTGTTCCATGATATCTGCTAATATTCAGTCTATATTTAATTTTCCCAGGTTGTCTCAAAAAAATCTTTAAGAAAACTTAAAAAAATCCGGATCTGGGCTCCTCTGGTGGCGCAATGGTTGAGAGTCCGCCTGCCAATGCAGGGGACGCGGGTTCGTGCCCCGGTCCGGGAGGATCCCGCATGCCGCGGAGCGGCTGGGCCCGTGAGCCATGGCCGCTGAGCCTGCGTGTCCGGAGCCTGTGCTCCGCAACGGGAGAGGCCACAGCAGTGAGAAAAAAAAAAAAAAAAAAAAAAAAAAATCCGGATCTAATCAAGGTCCATGCGTTGCATTCGGCCGTTATTTCTCTTTAGCCTCTTAATCTAGAACAGCTTCTTTTCTTTTCGATGACATTGACTTTTCAAAGTCTAGGACAGATGTCTTGTAAATTCTTGACTTGTCTGATTGTTTCCTCATGCTCTTGTTTACTTGCATCCCCGTCCCCTCTATAGAGGATAAGCTATTAGTTCTGTCTAGAGAGGAGTGTCCAGTACAAATATAATGTGAGCCATATCTGTAATTAAAATTTTTCTAGTAGTCACATTAAAGAAGTAAGAAGAAACAAGTAAGTTAATTTAACTTTAACTCAATATATCCAAAATAATATCATTTCAACATGTAATCAATATAAAAATATTGAGACATTTTATTCTTTTTTTTGTATTAAGTCACTGAAATCTGGTATGCATGTTATACCCACAGCATATGTCAATTCAGACTAATCACTTTTTTTTTTTTTTTTTTTGCGGTACGCGGGCCTCTCACTGTTGCAGCTTCTCCTGTTGCGGAGCACAGGCTCCAGACGCGCAGGCTCAGCGGCCATGGCTCACGGGCCCAGCTGCTCCGCGGCATGTGGGATCTTCCCGGACCGGGGCACGAACCCGTGTCCCCTGCATCGGCAGGCGGACTCTCAACCACTGTGCCACCAGGGAAGCCCTTTTTTAAATTTATTTTTTATTGAAGTAAAGTTGGTTTACAATGTTGTGTTAATTTCTGCTGTGCAGCAAAGTAACTCAGTTATACACATATATATGTTCTTTTTTAAAAATAAATTTATATATTTATTTATTTTATTTTTTGGCTGCGTTGAGTCTTCGTTGCTATGCGCGGGCTCTCTCCAGTTTCAGCGAGCGGGGGTTACTCTTCGTTGTGGTCCGCGGGCTTCTCATTGCGGTGGCTTCTCTTGTTGCGGAGCACGGGCTCTAGGCGCGTGGGCTTCAGTAGTTGTGGCACGTGGGCTCAGTAGTTGTGACACACGGGCTTACTTGCTCCGCGGGATGTGGGATCTTCCTGGACCAGGGCTCGAACCCGTGTCCCCTGCATTGGCAGGCGGACTCGTAACCACTACGCCACCAGGGAAGCGCTACGTTCTTTTTTTACATTCTTTTCCATTCTGGTTTATCCCAGCAGTGTGAATATAGTTCCCTGTGCTATACAGTAGGACCTTGTTTCTTATCTATTCTCTATACAATAGTTTGCACCTACTAACCCCAAACTCCCGGTCCGTCCCTCCCCCACCTCCAACCCCCTTGGCAACCATAAGTCTGTTCTTTATGTCGGTGCAGAATAATGACATTTTAATTGATCAATAGCTACAAGTGACTAACGGCTCCCAGCTTGGACCGTATGTATAGCTCTAGTAGTTTTCCAGAGCTTAAATATTCTAGGGAAGAATACTTTATAGGTGCTGCTGTTAATAGCATTATGCCGGGAGGCGAACAGTGTCAGGCTGGCCCATATTAGTGGAGGCTGAGTTTGACTCTGGTTAAGGAGGCATGGCCAGATTTCTCCATTAAAAAGACACTTTGTTTTTTCTCTTTGCAAAGATGCTTTGTTTTTTCTCTTTGCAGGTACTATGTGGTGATGTTTGCATCTGGCAAATATCCTGTGTATCCTAACCATTCACTCTTGTTAAAAAGTTATTTTTAAATGTGTTGTGTAATATTTCAATCATACAAAAAGTTTAAAGACTAATATAATGAACACCCGTGTCTCCACCACTTAGCTTAAATGAAATCTTACCTTACAGCTGAGGCTCCTAGTACCTGCCCCCCCAGTCACGGGCTCTTCCTTTCTCCCCAGAGGCCATCACTTTCCTGAGTATGGTATCATTTCCATGAGTTTCTGTAAACTTTCATTACATATGTATATATCTCAAAACAATATAGTGTTTTGCATTCAGGGGGAGTAGCAGTTTTACTGAGATATAATTTGCATCCACTATTTAAAGTGTATAGTCTGGGACTTCCCTTGTGGCGCAGTGGTTAAGAATCCGCCTGCCAACGCAGGTGACACAAGTTTGAGCCCTGGTCCAGGAAGATCCCACATGCCGTGGACCAATTAAGCCCTTGTGCCACAACTACTGAGCCTGCGAGCCACAGCTATTGAAGCCCGCGCGCCTAGAGCCCATGCTCCGCAACAAGAGAAGCCACCGCAATGAGAAGCCCACACACTGCAACGAAGAGTAGCCCCCACTCACCGAAACTAGAGAGAGCCTGCAGACAGCAACAAATGTGACATAGTGAATATACTACGACTCATGAATGCTTTCCAAGTGTGTACACGGTTCAGGTGCATTCCATTTAGTCTTTTCTCCACTTTGCAGATGGGGAGCCTGAGGCTGGTAGAGGTTGAGTACCTTGCCCGAAGTCTCACCCTATTCAGTAGTGGGGAGAACTAAGACTCGAGGCCTTGGGCTCTTCTGACAGCACTGCCTCCAAAGTCTTTGTGCCCAGTCATACCCAGCAGCCACTCAGTGCAGGCATCCATCATCTCTCACTTAGATGTCCACAACACTTTTGCCTTTAACCTGGTCCCCTCTAATCCATCCTCTATGCTGCAGTCAGTCAGAGGGATCTAGAAAGATCCCTCTTCTAGAAAGAAGGCAAAGTGAGTCATGGCAGTTCTTGGCTCAAACTTTCCAGTGGTTTCCCTCTTGCCCTACAGATAAAAATCTAACTTTTCATGAGAGATAATAAAGTCCTTCACAAATTGGCCCCTGGCAACTTGACAGTGTAGCATGGGGCAGTGGTTCTTCATGGATGCATGTTGGAAATTCGTGGTAGCTTTTTTTGTTTTTTTGGTTTTTGCCCCACTGCAAGGCTTGTGGGATCTTAGTTCCCTGACCAGGGATCGAACCTGGGCCCTCAGCAGTGAGAGCACGGAGTCCTAACCATCAGACGGCCAGGGAATTCCCTGTGGTGTTTTTTTTGGTTTATCCCAATGATAAGTTCGTGCTACTGGCATTTGGTAGGCAGGAGTTAGGGATGCTATATTTTGGCAATGGAAGGGACCATTCCGCACAACCAAGAATTATCCACATGACTTTCACTGTCTTACTGAACATTCTGTGTGAAAAATCTATTATCATCCGAGCCTAGAATCTATCTCTATTAACCCTACATCCAAGGGAGGAGGGGACAGGTTTATTTCTGGTTCACCCTAACCATGAGGATGTAGTCCTTTGGGGTCCCATCTTTATGAAGGAGAATGTCCTGTTAAACTCCCCTGTTGAGGAGGTCCTGGGGTGTTTTCTTTTCCCACAAGACCTGGAAAAAGCTCAAATTCATCTAGTTAGGCAAGTGTCCTCAGAGCAAAAGCCTGCTTCAGTGTTCCACTTATCTCTCTTTATGTCCCCTGCCTTCACTTACTTTGTTTGCCCTGAAAATTCCTCAATTTTCTATTAAAGCATTTAAGAGTTGGGGACCTGATGAAAGCACTTTATCACGTGCTTTCCTATTCATCACCTCATTTGAGCCTTCCAACAACCCTATGAAACAGTTGGGAAAGGCACTATGATGTAGACCCATTTTACAGATAGGGTAGCTGCGGCCCAAAGGCACGCAGTAAGTAGTGAGAACTAAGTCCCAATTCTATCCCCTTACTTCGGATTCAGCGTAAATAAGGATGACGGAGAGACCCAAAGGACATTGTGAAGATATGAGACAATGGGGTTGACTGCAACGGAAAAGCATTTTTGTGGGTGGACTAGGGAGGGATCCTTAGTCAGCTGGGACCGAGTTAACAGCAGCCCCACCAGGGAGAGCACAGGACTCCTTTCCCTGATCCAAGCAGCTGGAAGTCCGCAGCACCAACCCCCAGCTCTGGAAACTGAGGAAGCCCAGGCCCGGTAAAGAGGAGACGGATGTTCACAGGTGTTCGAGTTAGGCAGCTAAGATGACGTTAAGGGTAACTTGTTAACAAGGCCTGCCTCTGTTGCCGTGACAACCGGAGCTTGACTACTGAGCCCTTGCAAGGTTGACTGGGGCTGGTTCTTCGTTAACTCGAAATTAGGAAAGGACATTTATGGGGTGTGTGTGTGTGTGTGTGCGCGCGCGCAAAAAAGGTGAAAAAGATATTCAAAAAGATGTTCAGCTCAGTGATTCTCCACCTCCGCAACATGTTAGAATCACTTTCGCAGTTTTAAAAGTTCCGATGCCTAGCCATACACAAGATCAATTAAATCAGAATCTCTGGGGATGGAACTCAGGTATCACTATTTAATCAAGTCTTACCAGGTGATTCTAATCGCAGCCAAAGGTGCGATCCCAACTTTTACCTGCTAAACCAAATTCCTGCGACCTTCTCCAGATGGCGGCCACCCGCCCACTTCCGCCTTTACGTGCCCTGGCAGGGGGCGGGCTTTCCAGGGGCGCATGCGTGTAGCATCTCTTCGCGCTCTGCTCCCTCCTCCTTTTCCCCCTCCTCCATTTTGTTCGCGGATGCTGGGGACGGTGGGAGCAGATCCATTTCCGGGTTGGCAAAAGGGGCGGCGGCGGCAAGAAAGGGAGCTTGCCGCGGGGCGAGCAGGACGGGACGGAGCCGGAGCGGAGGTGGCGGAGGATTCGCTCGCGGAGCCGCTGTGCCCAGGTCGGGAAGAGGCCGGGGAGGGTGGGTCCGTCGCTGAAATGACCTGAGGACCTGAATGGGAGGGAGAGCCGGGGGAGGGGCGATTGGGGCGGGGCTTGAGGAGAGAGGGGGACTTTGGGGGAGGGGCCTGTGGGAGAGAGGGGTCCTGGGGGCGGGACCTGAGGGGAGGGCGAGTGGGGGCTGGGTCTGAAGAACCTGGAGAAGAGGGGGCGTGGGGAATCTAAGTAGGGAGGAGTGGTCGGGAATTGGTGTGGGGCGAGCGCCGACTGTGAAAAGGTGAGGAAGGTTATTGAGAGACGGGAAATAAGGGATCCTGAAGGGTTGGGTAAGGTGAGTAAGACGGCGACTCAGGGTGAGGAACGAGGTAACCGTGCGCAAAAAGGGAGATGGAGAGGGAGGACCTGTTGGGAACAGGTAATTAACAGGATGCTCCGGGTGAGGAGGCCGTCGTGACATTTTGGGAGTTGATGAGTGAAAACCAATGGTTGAAGGGATAACTGAGGAAATTGCTTACACTAGAGGGAATCTGGAGAACATTAGTTGAGAAGGAATCAGATTTGAGTTAAAGGTTGGATTGAGAAACGTTGGGGTTCGCCTGGGAGCAGCCTGCAATTGAAGGTTCAGGTTGGAGTGATGTGAAGTCTTAGTTCTGGGCACCTCCAGGATCCACCTCCCTTTTCATGGTGTTATTTTTGCCCTATGTTTGTTTCTGAATGACTTATGGTATGTTTTGGGTGACTTTTTTCTCCTTTTACAAACCAGAACAGAACCTCAGGGAACAAGGACTCCTAAGGATTTACTAGGTAACTTTGAGGCAAATCATTAAACTGTCTCATTTTTTTCCCTTGGAAATGTAGGTTTGATCCCTCTCTGCTTCTAAAAGATTGTGTTAACCAAATGGGATCTTTAAAGTGGTTGCAAAGAAGTGATCCCTGAAAATTGGATTGAGATATTGATATTTAGAAGACATGTCTTTCCCAGTTTCTTCCTCTCAGCCTTGCACATTTTGTGTGTGTGTGTGTGTGTGTGTGTGTGTGCCAGGGAAGAGTTGGTTTTGATTTGATACATGTCCAGTTTTTAAACTTTTCTCAGTGTCAACTTTTACTAGCCAAAAATTTCATATTGTTGTGTTACATTGTATTGGCTGCCATCAAGACCGAGATGGGGAAGTTAGAATTGGGAATAAATAAGGTTGGTTGATGGAGAATGTGAAAGAATGCAGTATTTTATTTCTATTTTATTGTCTTTGAGAATTCACTGGAAAATAGTGTTGTAGACAGTTGAGCCTTTTGCTTTGGTCCAGTCACTTTGGCCCTTTTTGCCAGTTGTTGGGGAAGCAGTGTGCTTGTGGACAATTTTAGCTTCTTTATTCTTAATCCTTTAGCATCTTGACTGTTCCAGCTTTTTCTTTGGGCATAATACTCTATAAACACTTTGCCCTTAGGTGAATTTGTTTAGCTTAGAAGTGTTCCTGAAGGTCTTGGCATTTCTGAAGTCTGATGTGGATGTGCTTAAGAAGGGGCAGATTCTAACTCACACTTGATATCACAGTAGTGTTTACCTTAGTTGGTACTGATTAGTTAGGTGATGTCAGCACAAAGGTGAAATGCAGAGGAAAGTGGAAGGTGTTGAGAACTGTACAGTTTTCTGGTTTTACTGATGGCTTTTAAGAAGGGAAAGGACGAGTCCTATTTCTTTTGAAGAGAAAATTGTCGGATGTTCTTTCTTGTCTTCTTGGGCTCTTTGATTGGGAGAGTAACCTGGTGGACTTGAACCTGTGTTCCTATTGTTTTGAAGTAATTTTGAAAACCGTGGGCTGCTGATTCAGGCTGTTTCAGCAACCCAGCCCCAGGAAGAACTGCAGGTATGAAGTGTATACAGGTGGTCCCTGACTTACCGTGGTTCCATTAAAGATTTTTCGACTTCATAATGGTGTGTGAGTGATATGCATTCAGTGGAAGCTGTACTTCTAATTTTTAATTTTGATCTTTCCCTGATTTGGCACCATACTCTCTTGTGATGCTGAGCAGAGGCAGACAGCCGCAGCTCCCAGTCAGCCACACCAACTGATACACTTACAACCATTCTGTGCCCATACAACCATTCTTTCACTTTCAGTACACTATTCAGTAAATGACGTGAGATAATTCAACACTTTATTATAAAATAGGCTTTGTGTTAGATGATTTTGCCCCACTGTAGGCTAATGTAGGTGTTCTGAGCGCATTTAAGGTAGGCTAGGCTAAGCTATGATGTTCAGTAGGTTAGGCGTATTAAATGTCTTTTCGAATTAACAGTATTTTCAATTTACAGTAGGTTTATCAGGATGTAACCCATCTGTACACTTATTTGGGGGTAAAAGCTTGCTTAATATTTTGCCGTCATTTCAACCTACAGTGTGTCTTTTTGGTTTGTTTTTAAGTTATTGAAATAAGTTGTGGAGGCCCAGAGCTCTGGGCAGACTTTTGGTATAGCCTGCTTCTTTCACGTAATGGTTTTCCATTTTTCCTATCCTGTCATGTGTTTCCATTGCTCTACTGGAGCCAGTCTGAAGTGGAAAATGGCAAATTGCACATTTTTTTCCTCCTTTTCAGTCTCTGGTGGACATCTTGTCTGTGTCACAGTTTGACACCACCAAATTGAAAGGAATTTTGACTGCTTCAAATGGGGAGGGTGGACAGAAGCTGAGCTGGGTTTGCTGGGCCAGAGAATGGACTCTGTCAAAGCAAAGAATAGTTGCAGAAACACAAACCAGGACCTTGAAGCTGTGACTAACATTTTGGCAACATGCTTCCCTTTACCAAATAACTTCTTTTCTTCTTGAGTGTGATTGTTGATCTCCTTCTCAAAGTAGGCTCTTGTTGCTACTGTTCTTTACACAGCACCCGAGCAGAAGTTGGCAGAGTTCCGGTTGACTGTCTCTTGAGGGATGTGGCCCGGATTAGAGTGGATGGGGTGTTTCATGTCAAAGTGAGGTTCATTGGCAGATCCTGAGAGCTGCTCTGCAAGGAAATGGAGGCGGTACTCTTTACTGAATGTTCTTACACGCCTTTATGTTTCTCCTAAATTCAAATCTGTTACTTATTCATCTGGTGATTAAATGCAGAATCATTGCCTTTGCCTAGCTTTGAAAGTCCAAGGCATTGAGGAAGAGAGAAAGAG